TATTTTTTCGTGTTAGGCATACGACTAATATATAAGTTAATAAAATGACAACAGGGCAACAGTCAGTCGTCGACTAGAATTAGTTATAGTGGTAGGATATTAGCCGAACCGAATGTTAGACATAAAGCCAGAGGGCATAGCGATAGCTTTTAGAGAGTGTTTATTGATTGGATATCGTAGTTAACACATGTTGGCTCTGAAAGGACGGCTATGCCTAATTCAAAATAATAAGTACTGTATAGGTGTCAGAGCCAGACTAGGTTAAGTCCCAATATTGTCCCTTTTATGAATCTTATCATGTCACATACATCTTTTAAACTACTTTTATATTTATTTTCAGTTTGAACCTCTTGAAAAATAAATATACAAATCAAATATTGAAAAAAGTGTGGAAAAGGACCGAGAACAAAAACAAAACTGGAACAAAATGTAGTAATGGCGATTTTCCACTAAATGGACAAGACAAGAACAAAATAGAAACTCGTGTCGAAAAAAACAAAACTGCAACTTTTCGCAAACTTTTTAAAGACTGGCGTGTTTTGGGACAGTGGAAGCGGTAACATCAGAAGGTTTCGACGTGTTTTGAAACTCAGGTCTGTTTACTGGAAACGGTCGTGTTGTGTAGTCTAAATTTTGAACCAAATTGGTACCTAAATTATTAAGTAAATAACGTATTTTTTTATAGATATGTAATTATTAATAAGTAATTTATTATTAAATGCTGGATAAATTTATATAAGTATGTTTATTAGTAGAGTATATATCTGTATGCTAGAGCCAGAGTAGGTTAAGTCCAAATATTGTACTTTTTAGGTTTTTATAATGTCACATACATCTTTTATACTACTTTTATAAATATTTTGAACTTGGACTTATTATATTGTGATGTTTGTTTATTTTCAAACAACAGTTTATTTATTATTAATTTATTTAAACACTTATTTATTTTAAACAATACTATTTTAATTTATATATACTTCGAATGTCTTTAAACTGATCACTATTTATATTCACCACTGTCTATCTACTAATTACTATTTATCTTCACTGTCCATATATCAACTTATACTGATGGCTCTCCTCCACCAATTTATATACAAATTGGTGGCCTAGAATGCTCCCCCACCAAAATTGCCAGTATGTACCAGAAACGTTATCACGTTCTAGAAATAGTATCTCGTTGACCCTGGAATGTTCGCGAAAGTGTCTCCACCATAGTCGTCCCATAGGTTTGGTCTTAAGGGGTTTAATTATGTATAATAAGCGGACAAGTTTAGCCTCAAAGGCCAAATAATACAGAGAGGGACTTGGAGTATTAGAGCATGACTGACTAATAAAATGGCTCACATTACAATATATTAGAGCCTAATCCAGGACCATTATTAATGAGTTTTAATCACTTAAATTATAAAACCAACAACAGTAGGTTACAACCTAATAAATCTAAATCCTGATACGGTAGTAGATTGGACACAGCTTAGATTGGACAATCTACTTTAGACGGGACTACTTTTATTTTATTCACCTATAATTATGTTCAAACATAAATAAATAGGTATTCATATTTTTGGAACCATATCATGTATTTAGTTTCATTAATTTTTAATTCCAAACATCATCTTTACCCGAACGAAACCTTTAAGAGTCCAATAACGGAGCGAAAGAATGAATTTAGAGCAATAAAAATTCGATCTTGGTGAAGAAATTACCGAAAACAGCGCAATAAAAAATTTATTAGCTATTAACGAACCATTAATACATCTCAATTTGGTCGTCAAATTTTATGTACGTTAATAAATCACCACGAACGTGGATTCTAAACAAATTTGTCGACAATAAATTTAATTTTAGGGCGATGGTTAGACAGTAAATACTAATTGCATTTGTTTTGAATTACATTTCAAAGTTTATTGGTTTCGAAAATAAGGATATTATTAATTTATAGAGAGCTAAAATCACGGGTCGACAAAGGAGAGGTATGATCAATGACCATGAATATTAGTGATTAAATTGGCCCAGTAGAAGAGACTTCACACATTGGGATCAGCATTCTTCAGAGGCACCTTAGTTTTGGATATTGAAAATCTAGTTCAGTTATACTTTATTTCTGAATACCCTTTACACATTGGGATCAGATCTCTTTAGAGGCACCTTAGTTTTGGATATTGAATATCTAGTTCAGTTATACTTTATTTCTGAATACCCTGTAGGTTTCCGGTTTTTACATAATTTCTCGTATATATACTTTTTACAGCTTCGATTAAGCTCCGGTTTATTTATCTAGTCCATATTTGCTGCCAGGGACCACTGTCGAATGCTTTCTCTATATCCAAAGAAGCAACATATATATTATTTTTATTATTTGTTTCAATTAATTGTTTCACTGCAAAGATGTGGTCTTGTAAGTACACCTCTACCTTTAAGAAAAGCACTCTGTGATTTTTCTAATTGATGTTCTACTGTATTTTTTGATATTTTTCAAGGATTCTCTCATATGTACTTTTAAGGAGGTCCTTTCGCCACCAATGTTAAATAAAAAATATTAGATTATGACTAAAATTAATTTTTTTCTAATAGTAGATGTCCTTATTTATCTAATAGTGAACTTTTAACTATACCTTACCGTGCAAATTTTTGAGAAATTTTTTTTTTAAAAATGTGTGTTTGTACAGTGTCTTATGAGAAAGTAAGACTTCAACAACAATTTTCGAATTATAATTAATTTTACTATTATTTATTGATTAGATGGAGTAAAAAAAAACTAAAAAAAAGGTTTTTGAAATATTTAGGTTTTGTTTTTTACAATAAAATATATAGGTTATAGTGGAATTTATTGAGAAATTATTATTAAAAAATCGAAAAAAATGTTCAACTAGGTTACTTGAAAATTCTTTGTGATTTTTTAATATTAATTTCTCAATAAGTTCCACGGTTTACTATATATATTTTATTGTATAAAACAAAATCTAAATATTTCAAAAACCTTATTTTTAGTTTTTTCTACTCCATCTAATCAATAAATAATAGTATAACTCGAGAATTGTTGTTGAGGACTTACTTTCTCGTGAGGCACTGTACAAATACTCACATTAAAAAAAAAATCTCAAAAATTTGCAAGGTAAGGTATAGTTAAAAGTTCAGTATTAGATAAATAAGGACTTCAACTATTAGAAAAAAATTAATTTTAGTCATAATCTAATAACTTTTTTTTTAAAATTTGAGGCGAGATGTGTGGCGAAAGGACCTCCTTAACAGTGCACTCAATATTGTAATGCCTATATAGTTTGAATAGTCTATATTTTCACCATTCTTGTGCAGAGGTAATAATATTCCAAATTCCCATTTCTGATTTAATCCCATCGAGACCTGCAACTTGTTCTAGCAAGTTTATTGCTATATCAACTTCTGCGTTGGTAATTTTTTCCACTTTATTTCTTTAGTATTGAATATCTTTAATACATATTTCTTCTGGTTTTGAGTCATTACTTCTGGATCAAAATCTCATCAAAATGTTCAATCTCTTCATAACATTTTCTTCTTCAGCATTTATGTTTTCTTCTTTTGTTATTATATGTTATGTTATATTGTTCTCCTTTTCTGAGTATTTTGAGAATTCTATGAAACAATTTTTGGTTGCTTGTAATATTATTCTCTATAATTTTTGTTCTATACAAAATTTGCCCAAAATGGTCCGTATTCGAGATAATTGACAAATGGTAAAAAAATCAAATTTTTAGAAAAAATCTTTATATAAAAGTTGTTTGTCATGTCATTCTCTATCATTTTTGCACTATACACGATTTCCCTAAAATGGACCGTATTCAACATATTTGAGAAAAAGTACCTACAAATTTCGAATTTGGAAGATAATTCAAAAACGGTCTAAGAGAAAAACCTCAAAATTTAGGTTTCAATCCATCCTGCGGTAAAACGATTAAATTTTTGGGCATTGTCGGAAAATCTGGGTGGTACTTGATAGAAGTTCGTTCTTCTACGTTATGAAATATATGTTATTTACGCTTGGAGAAGAACATTCTTCAAATAAAAGTTGCTTGTAATGTTATTTTCTATAATTTTTGTCACAATCATCATTTTCTTAAAATGGTCCGTATTCGAAAAATTTGAAAAAAGTGCAAAATTCTATTTTTTTTTTTAATATTGTTAAACAATAATAATCTCTATCATTTTTGTTTTATACATGATTTCTATAAAATGGACCGTAATGGAAAAATTTCAGGAACAGTGTAAAATTTTAATTTTTCAGTATTTTTGTTGGCAATGAATGTTATAAAGAAATGTTACGAGTAAGATGTATGTAGAAAATGTATATATTTAGTTCATCCTCTAAACATTTACAGGGTGATACAATAGGTTGTACAAAATAATTGGAAAAGCCTGTAATAACTAGACAGAAAAGTCATGTGTTGGACATATCAGATATTTATTTCAGTAATACCTATGATATCTAGATTATTCTTTTCAAACTCTCAATTAATTCTTCCTTCTCTTTTATACTTCTAACTTTTAATGTTGCTATTTTCCATAATTTCCCTTTGGAAATTTATTTCTTTTCCTCTATCAGTTTTTTGACCGTTTGCATTTTTTATTTCTTCCTTAAAAACATTTTCCTTTTCCATCGCTATATACGTCATCTTGTTCTTGTAACTTATCTTTTATTTTTTAGTTTTTTCTTTCGGGCTCTAGTTCTGATTCAAATTTATGAGTTTCTGGAGATCTTTCAATTATCTTTCTTTTCCGACTGTTGTTTTTATTTTTGTTTTCAATTTCCTGTTTATTTCTTTCTTCTTTTATTCGTCTTCTTTGTAATCCTCTTTATATGTTCATTATCAATTTGTTATATTTAATTTGAGTCTTGTATTCTTTATCGCTTGCCTCATTTGTAATATTCCGCTTGAACCTCTTTTTAGAGTAATCCTCATCAATCCATATATGTTTTTCAATGTTTTTTTGCATTTTTTAAAATCTGCAATTTTGTGGACCTATACTGGTCTTTTATTTTGTTTGGGGTACTTTTCTGATCTTCTTATTTTAGCTGTCCTCCTTTGAGTTGAACTTCTATCTTCTGAAATATTAAAGTGACTTTATCATAGGTTTAATTCTCATCTTTATTTCTCTTTCTAAACTACCTATTCTAGATTCCTGTTTATCAATTGTTGCTTTAAAATTTTAATTTTCTTCTACTTGATTTATTTCTAATACAACATGTTTCCTTCAATTTGCTCAAACATTTTTCTATTCTATGAATGTCCGCCATTTTTAATCTGCTGTTTATCGCTCAAAAAATAACAAACATAAAAATATCTTTATTAAAATTGCAAAATGAATGTTTTTTAATGTTAAGTCAATCAAGTAAACATTCTTCTCCTATTTGGAAAAATATAAATAAAGCAGTGGGTTTTCTCTCTGATAAGGGGAAAGGGAAATTCTAATATAAAGTCTTGTATTGTTATTGAGATATTGATTAGTTAATTTAAATAAACGAATTGTAAAGAATTTGTTTGAAATAAATATAAATAATTACTTACCATGTGTGCGAGTAACTGGCCAAAGCAGTACAAGTTTGTAAACTTTTTATAACTGAATTGAAATATCAAGCTTTTGTTTTAGGACCCAACAAATATTATAGCTCTAAAATTCGCTCACATTTAGAGTACTATAAAGTTTTCGCACGTCCCAAATAAAGCAAACAACAAAAATCTAATCTATGACTAGGGGTGCTCGTTCTAATGAAACGGAAGTATCCTTGTAGTATATCTCATTTACGTATTCCCTCTGAAGTATAAAATATAAAAATATTTGAATAAGTGCAAAGATAGCCGACTCCCATTACGTTGGTGCGTCGCCGGTTGCATATAAAGTGCATCTTTGAATGCCATTTTGAACTTTTTGACCTTTACACTTACTATACGTGCCTTCTCCGTAACGAAAACAATGATGTACTCACACGTTTCCGTACGTTTTAATGGGCCCTTCTCGCTTTTATTTTCTCTAGTTTTCCAGGAGGAAATGTGAATTATCCTTTATTATTGCGAATAGACGAGAGTGTATCTTCAGGTTTTTAAAGTTTTCGAAAATGTTTTGAGTGGCGTTGACATTTTTAACCTGTGTTTTCTATACATAACGCTTCCTCGTATTGTAAAGGTCGAAATAACTCGATTGCACCCAATTTGATATAGTTTCAAAAGTCATTCAGGTTAATGCTACTTTAGAACAAACAAAAATGTTCGAACGCATCTTTGAAATAATTTTGGAACGCAGCTATAGTAGTTCAAATGTTAGTTGACACTAGCGACTAGGCTACGTAACAGCCAGGTTTTCAATTCACTAATTATTATAAGATATTTTATGGTAATAAACTTTTGCATTATATTAAGTAAGAATGGTTGCTAATTTGTTCGAATGATTTCGGGGAATACTTGTCAAATAAATTGTATTTATGAATTTATTCAATTGAATGTTGGCTGAATGACCTGTAGAAATAAGGTTAGGATAAAAAAAAGAAGAACGGAAAAAGGGACTGGCGGAAGTTTAAAAAAGGAGGCTGTTCTAATTTTTGGGTTAGACGAAGGTGGTCGAATTGTTTGGTGGTGAAAAATGTGAAAAAAAAGAAAAGTATCTCTTTTTTGTTTACCGTTCTACGGGATTTGCACCCCAATAAAAATTACATCATAAATCATTTCGAAGGAAAGGAAAAAAAGTGTAGACGGAGCCCGGCTAAAATTAAAAAAAAATCTTTGGCTGATAGTTTTCGCCACGAGGGCAACAGGCGTCGCCGTATTGGTGTAGGAACACCGAAAGTCCGAAACGTATTAGCAGTGTAGCAGCCCTAGGATATTGGAATATTTTTCTTCGTTTGAGGTCGCAGATCGCAGTATTCATATTCATAAATCGGAGGTGTACCCGCTTGACTCCTGTGAAGACCTGGGAAGGCTGTTCAGACGACTCTCCGCTGGAGGAGATACGAGATACCATGGAACTCGAGGGCCGAATTTTAAGGTCACAATTTTTATTTTTGGTAAACACCTATATCTTAGTCATGGGGTTGATGAAAATAAAAAGTTTTTTCCATTTTACCAGTACACTGGTTTAATCACCAACCTTTGTCGCGATATATTTTTTTAAGAATGAAACCCGCTGAAGGGGTTATCTATTTGTACACGGTTGGTATCACGATTATGTACTGTTGTGTTTTTGCGGTTTCAAAAAACGAATTAAATAAAGTGCGGTCCTATTCTCAAATATCGTTGGAATCGTTATTCGAGTCTAAACTTGTTTATTTTTAATTATTTAAGTAACCTTGCATAGACCCTGTAAACTTTCGGCAAATGCCCAAAGGGAAAGTATATATTGATATGGTTATCTATGCAAACAATATTTTTATTTTGTTATTGAATTTCTCTTATGCTGTGTATGACACATTTATTTTGTGCTTAATGCCAGGGGCAAATAATAATAATAATAATAATAATAATAATAATAATACTCGTTAACTGAATGTTTTCAGAATTATTCATTCAAAATGACTTAACGAAAGAAATTAAATAATGTACGTTTTCTTTTATTCGTTAGGTAAATAAACTGTTGTCACCTTAAAGTTCTGGGTCTGATTTTCTTGGTATTTCTTGCGTCTAATTGTTTCGACAACTAGAAACAGCTGTAGCAGTGTCTGAAGCCGCAGTAGCAGAGAAAGCAGCATTGTCACAGAGGGGTAGTCAAAGCTGATAAGTAAAATAAGTAAAACAAAAGGAAAGAAAAGGATATTGAGGTGAGGTAAAATCTTAATTCGTTGTTCTCTTTTGCGTACTCTCTAGTAAGTGTTCTAGGAGTGGGGGCTACATAGCAAATTTATATATTGTTTGAAAAGAAATTTTGATATATGTACTTACCTTTTTGTTGGAGCGCCACTGATTAAAATTTACTTTTATTATATAACATAATATTTGGTATTCACCATTTGAGATTGGTAATTACAACAACATTCAAGTGACTTCGGTCATTAATTTGTTAATATATCCGTGACGTCATAAATCAGCTGTTTCTCGTCAAAGTTATGACCAAAATTTTGCGGTATTTACCTTCTTCCAGAGCTGTGTTTGAAAATTGGTTATAGGTAATTGACAGTTACAACTAGAGTGAGTGTTTTATACCGACTAGTACTATACAAATAAGGTATACTAAACCCGATTTATTTGTGCCTTTTTTAAACATTAAAATCATATTCAAAAATGGTAGAATATTGGATGAGTAGAAATTGCAAAGGGAAAGACTTCAGAGACTAATTTCTTCTTTGGATTTTATTTTTAAATAGAGTGAGTTCGAGTTGCCTCTCTGTAGTGATGCCGCGAGACAAGACGAGACGAGAGAGTGGCCTCTCTCGTCTCGTAGGACGAGAGAAAACTGTTCTCTCGTCTCGATGAGAAAGCGCTTCTCTCGTCTTGTCTCGTCTCGTCTCGTTTCTCTCGTGATAAAACAATATCAAATTTAAATTTGAAAAAGACGAAACATGAAAAAACGGTAAAATTTGCAAGACAAACAAAACATTTTTCAAGTAATTTGCGCATTGGTACCCAAATTTGGCAATAAGAAACACTTAAGTCTCTCTGTCTGTCTGTCTGTCTGACACAGTCGTTTTACAATTGAAATTTGAAGTAATAAGTGGCCCAGATTAGGCGTTAACTAAAAACAAAAATAAATTTGTCTTGTAAGTCAGTTGGGGAGGGGGGCAAGAGGTTAAATTGGAAGTTAGAATTGTTGTAGTATGTTTTTAAAATGCAAGAAGATAGAGACATAAAACAAAAACGAAGTGAAATTAGAGAAACATGATATTTTTGTTATAATGAGATGCACTTTACTTAAGACGTAAAATAGAAGGCGTTACTATCTTTAAATTTTATAATGGAAAGTAAAGTCATGTAATACCTCATTTGAAAGTTATTTTGGTTATATTTACGTCCAAACACAGTTTTAATTTTTTTTGTTTTTACAAAAATTACATTCTTGATAATCCTCGTGTGCCGCAATAATCCTAGAAATGTTAGATAATGTTAGAAGAGAATTTTTTAATAAGCTTTTTTTTGCCAAGAAGTTATGAAAAATTTAATACGTCAAGTGGTTTTTAAATCACCTTTTATATTCTTAATTTATTTATTTTGGTAAATACAAGAAGAGTTTCCTTAGTAATAAACAATAATTGTTAATACGAGAGTTATCAAGAAATTAATTTATCAGTAAAGGCCCAGAATATGTCTGTATAAGAACAAAGTACCAGCTACAAAAAATTGGCATTTGTGCAGTGTTAAAAAATTACTTAAATTTATAAAAGATACTGACATTTACTCTGTACTAGCCAAAATGTTAATTATCCATTGTATACTATTGTAAAAAACAGCATTTATAAGGTATTATACTTCCGGTAATCATCCTTTAAGGTTGAACGTAAAAATATAGAAAATATCTTTCAAATAAAGTATCACATGACCCTACTTTCCATTAGAAAATTAAAAGCTAGTAACTCCCTCTATCTTAAGTGTCTCAAGTAAAGTGCATCTCGTTATAACAAAAATATAATATCTCTTGAGTTTTGCCTCATTTTTGTTTTGTCATTATGTTTTTTCAATTAGAAGTTAAAATACAGGAGGGTACAATTTTCGTCCTCACTGTATACAATACATTCGTTTGTATTACCTTTTCTTTGACTGTTTTTCGAAAAAACGCTTAAAAATTTTCAACTTATCTTCAAAAGTAACCTCAGAAAAGCAGAATGGATTAAATATAAGAAATGATTGTATAAATTTTAAATAAATGAAATGAGAAATATTTTTTTTTATAAATCACTATTTATAAAATTCTAATAACACAAGTATCATTTGTTACCATTTAATATATATAGAAGAGGTGTGTTATAGTTAATTTTTTCGAAATCTAATATGTTAAAATTTTAAGTTACGATAAGCAATTGAAAATTTCAAATAAGCAAAGAGAAAATTGTACGAGGGAACCCGAGGGAGCTCGAGAAAAACGAGAAATTCTCGTCGAGAGATGACACTCTCTCGTCTCGAATCT